AATTTTTTTCTTCCTCCCCTGCATATCCGGCCAGGTATGCGGCACAAAGTTGGCCGGATTTGATGAATAGTATCCACATCAAGGGTTTCCTATTTTTCACAAATTCCATATTTGTTCAAAATTCCGACCAAAACACAAGGAACCTATGATCACCACTATTGAAAGAACATACCATGTAATATATACATTATATAACATAACATAACACATTCTCAAAGGTATAGAGTTACAAGTACAAATCAGAAGAGAATGTTTGATAGGTTACATCTAGGGTTTCCCCAAAATCAAGGAGCTATACAAAAGAACAAAATGCCTAACTAGCTCAACTCGTTCTCAATCACAATTCCAAAATGATTCTTGTAAGGAAAACAAAATAACGAGGGTGAGCTTACGCTCGTGAGGTACCAACAAGACCCACAAGTAAACACATATTCTCACATAGTTATCCAAAGCTCATAAGGAAACAAATCAATATAAAAGGATACAATTGGCTCTCAAGAGCCCCTTTCCACTTGCCGTACTTGATCTCAGACATGTTGACACTCCGTCAACCTTAGAAGAGAAGAACAAATCGTAGATTTCCACTTTACTCCATATCCCCTCCACCGGTCACCCCCTTACCGGGCCCGAACACCTCACAGTAACAAAGAGGGTAATACTCGAGTATACTAAAATGTCTAGGAGTTAACACTCCACTCGACCAACAGTGAACCCAAGGTCCATTATCGATTCACCCAATCCCTCACCGGCTCAACTTGAATAACGACCAAATATGTACGAGCTCAAATATCACAGTTAAGTTATCGGGCATAGCCCAAACAATATTAAAACATACACAGTTACGATTGCACAGTTAAATGGTAACAGTAGTACTGATAAGAAATCGAGAGCAATAAAGTACACTCTCGTCTCATTCAAGCCATTCAAGTTCACGTAGCAAGTATAAACAGTCATTTAAGTATTAGACCATATAATGGTACACTCACCGAAGTAAATAAGTAAATTCACAAGTTGGCTTCAGACGTAAACCCCGGATCACCGGCACGACCTACAACAAGCAAAAAAGTCACAATTGAGATTCAAACACGTGTCAAATCATTACAAATGAGCTACTAATATAATATACCAAAAGTGAAATAGGGTGACAATGGTGTGGAGCACGAATGACCCCAAAACCTTCCATTTCAACTTCCCCCCACTCTCAACTCAAGATTACTCAAATTTCTTACCATTTGGCCAGCATTTCCCTTAACATTTCTCATTTCCAACCTATCATTCAACACCCAAACTATCACAAGTGCAAATACAATTTATAGGCTATTCAATCCACCTCCTTAGGGTCACAAAACCCTTAAATCTCAACTAGTTACAAGCTCTTGAACCAATCTTAGAAAAGCCCCAAATATATAAACCCAAAAACCAAAATTTCCCTTAAAAGCTGGAATTTTCCACTATAACCCACATTTAACATATAGAGCCTCCAAATTACTCAATATAAGGCTATTATTCCATAGCCAACCATAATATATCATATAAAACAGAAAATTCACCAATAAATATGAAAATTGGACAAACTCAACCATAAACCATGAAATACTCCATAAAATAGCATCTTCAACTACTAACACCTGCTAATTTAACATTATAACTCACAAAGAGAAAGTTCTTGACCACTCACCTTCTCAACTACAAGAAGCAAGGTAGCTAGGGCTTGTTCTTGACAAATGGCTCCACCAATCACCTTAGCCTCACTTAACAACTCACTTGTGTGGAGAAATTAGGAATTTTAATGGTTGGTTTACAAGGTTAAGCAAGAAAGGACGGAAAATTGAAGAAGCTTTTCTCTCTTCTTTGTCTCCAAGTGCACAGCCAAAAGGAAGGAAATGGAGATGATTTTGGGTCAAAAATTGATTTAGTAAAAGTGAGGAAAGACTAGTCAAAAGTCCAACCTCCAATAGGAATGCAACATGTGGCTTTCTCAAGTTTATCTCATTCCTTTGTCTTCCAATACTTAATTAAACTAGCTAACCTCTAATTAACTCATAATACCATGTAATATAATCCCCGTAGATAAAACTTCTCCACACTCCTCACATTTACCACACTTAACGCATTAGTGGGTTCCACATCAACGGTACACCACCATTAACACAGAAAATGACTTATTTCAAAAAACAATGACTAAAAATCATATTTTCTCATGAAAATCCCCAGAAAATTCATATAATAAAGAAAACATGAAAATGGTGCACAAAAGTCTAAAATAAATGCCTAGAAAATAAGAAAATTTCGGGATCTCACACTCTCTCCCCCTTAAAGAATTTCGTCCTCGAAATTTCTCACCTGAATCATCAAACAGCTCAGGATATTTCTTTTTCATCTCTCCCTCCATTTCCCAAGTCACCTCTTCGACTCCGTGGTTCTTCCACAGAATTTTCACTAAGGGAATTTGTTTATTTCTCAACTCCTTAACCTTTCTATTTAGTACATGCACAGGTCTCTCCTCATAGGTAAGGGTTTCATCAATTTCAATCTCCTCTGGTTGCACAATATGAGTCGGGTCAGGGTAGTACTTTTTGAGCATTGACACGTGAAAAATATAGTGAATCCGGGACAAGCTTGGCGGCAACTCGAGTTGGTATGCTACTTTTCCAATCCGTTGGAGAATTGTGAAAGGTCCTACAAATCTGGGTTGGAGTTTCTTTCCTCTACCAGCAGTAATACTCCGCAATGGTGTAATCTTAAGGAAAACACGATCGCCAACTTCAAATTCCAAATCTTTTCTTCGATTGTCCGCGTAACTCTTTTAGCGACTTTGAACTGTTTGGAGCCTCTGACAGATTAACTTGACTTTTTCTTGGGCATCCTCCATCCAAGGAATGGTTGTAGGGTCCAAAACCTTCTTTTCTCCTATTTCATCCTAGTATATCGGTGATCGGCACTTCCGTCCATAAAGAGCCTCATACGGTGCCATTTGAATCGACGAATGATAACTGTTATTGTAGGCGAATTCCACTAAAGTCATCCCAGTTGCCTCCAAAGTTCGTAACATATCCTCAAGGGTCTGAATTATTTGTTCCGACTATCCATCCGTCTGAGAGTGATAGGTTGTGTTTAGATTCAGTTTCATTCCCAAGGTCTCCTAAAATTTTTGCCAAAATCTCGATACAAATCGAGGGTTTCGGTCGGAAACTATACTCACGGGAACTCCATGTAATCTCACAACCTCATCCATATACAACCGAGCCAACTTATCTATGGAATACTTCATATTCACAGGTAAGAAATGAGTCGATTTGGTTAACCGGTCAATGATCACTCAAACGGCATCATGTCCTTTTTGAGCCTTAGGTAATCCAGAAACGAAGTCCATGGTGATGTTCTCCCATTTCCATACGGGTATCTCCAAAGGCTGCAGCAACCCTGAAGGTTTTTGGTGTTCAGCCTTAACCTGCTGGCACACAAGACAGGTTTGTACATATTGAGCTATAGCTCTCTTCATTCTATCCCACTAGTACAACTGTCGTAGGTCCTGATACATCTTATTACTACCCAGATGGATTGTATATTTGGATCGATGAGCTTCCTCCAGAACCTCTCGTTTCAAATTTTCACCATTAGGCACCACTATCCGATTCTTAAACCTCAATATCCCCTTAGGACTCAGATTGAAATCAGAAATTTCCTCTTTCTTCACCTTTTCCACCCATTTCTGAACCATTGGATCCTCAGTTTGAGCCTCTTTGATTCGACCCAAGAGCTTGGATGTCACATGGATATTTTCAAAGGTTATCTTCTTATGTTCCAATTTTGGATTCCACTCACCAACGGTTCCTAACATTTTCCATTCTTTGACCATTAATCCAGACATTTGAGCCTTCCGATTTAGGGCATCAACTACTACGTTAGTCTTACCCGGATGGTAATTAATAGTACGGTTATAGTCCTCCAAGAATTCTATCCACCGGCGTTGCCTCATATTCAACTCCTTTTGAGAAAAGAGGTACTTAAGACTCTTATGATCAGAATAGACCTCAAAAATCACCCCGTATAGGTAGTGTCTCCACTTTTTCAGAGTAAAGACAGCGGCGGCCAGCTCTAAGTCATGAGCAGGATAATTTTGCTCGTGAGTTTTCAGTTTTCTAGATGCATAGGCTATCACATTCTGATTTTGCATCAATACACACCCCAAACTTTCCTTCGAGACATCGGTATAAACAGTAAAACATCCTTACTATTAGGCAAGGTCAAAATAGGGGCCATGGTCAACCTTTGATTCAACTCCTGAAAACTATCCTCACACTTATCACTCCACAGAAACCGACCACCTTTCTTTGTCAGATCAGTTAAAGGACTAGTAAGTTTTGATAAATCTTTGATAAATCGATGGTAATAACCTGCCAACCCTAGAAAACTCCAGATCTCAGTGGGATTATCAGGTCTTTTCACTCAGTTACTGCTTCCACCTTCGCTGGGTCTACAGCCACTCCCTCTTTCGAAATCACATGCCCCAAGAAAGAAACTTTCTCCAGTCAAAACTCACATTTACTAAATTTGGCATACAACCGGTGCTCTCTCAGGGTTTGCAAAACCAACTTTAGGTGTTGCACATGCTCCTCACGGGTTTTCGAATAGACCAAAATATCATCAATAAACACGACAACAAATCGATCCAGGTAGGGTTTGAAAATCCAATGCATTAGGTCCATAAAAGTGGCAGGGGCGTTGGTCAGTCCGAAGGGCATGACAGCAAATTCGAAATGCCCATACCGAGAATTGAAGGCAGTTTTAGGCACATCTTCCTTTCGAATCAATAATTGATAGTACCCTTGTCGAAGGTCTAGTTTTGAAAAGACCACTGCACCTTGCAACTGGTCAAACAACTCATCAATATCGGGTAGCGGGTATTTATTCTTAATAGTCACGTTGTTCAACTCTCGGTAATCGATACACAATTTCAAGGTCCCGTCCTTCCTTTTAACAAAGAGAACGGGTGCCCCCTAAGGAGATCCATTCTCACGGATAAAACCCCGCTCCAAAAGGTCTTGCAACTGCAATTTCAACTTCTTGAGTTCTGCAGATGCCATACGGTATGGGGTCTTGGAGATAGGTGAAGTCCCCAGTAACAGGTTAATCTCAAATTCTATCTCTCTTTCCAGTGGTAGATTCACTAATTCATCGGAAAATACATCCGAATATTCAGCCACTACTAGAACATCTTCTACTTTCAATTTATCGGTGGGAGTGTTAATGAGAAAGGTTAGGAACCCTTGTGCCCTTCTACTCAATAGTTTCCTAACCCGAATACCCGAAATCATTGCAAATGAAGGTAGATTGCCCTTCACATCTAGCCTTAATATCGTCTTCTCAGGGATACGAAATTCTACTATCTTCCTCTTACAGTCCAGTTGGGTATCATATCTAACTAACCAATCCATACCCAATATCACATCGTACCTCTTAATGGCTAAACTTATCAAATTTCCCAATAACTTTTTCTCTCCTACCTAGATTTCACAGTTTACGTACATTTTGCTAGTAACTAAACACTAGTCCCCTGTAGGAGTACTTACTTCCAGATTATATGGCAAACTGTGATATCAATTCTACACATGAAATCAGGATTAATAAAGAAATGGGTGGCATCGGGGTCTATCAAAATTCTAACTAGACGGTGGAAGACAGGAATCGTACATTCCACCATCTCCGTCAAGTCAGGGACAGGACGTTGTTCGATAGAATACACCCGAGCAGGCACCTTCGGATTCACTCCTTCCACTTTCGACTGTTTTGAGGTATTTTTCGATGATTGTATAGTCCCTCTTATCTCTCGAGGTTGGATCGGACAATTGGCGATCTGGTGCTTCGCGCTCCCACAGCGTAAGCACTTGCTCTCTTTTCTCCAATAATTGTCCTCTGTATGGTTTGGCTTCCCACAGAAGCCACACGGACCACGAGAAATAGTGGCAGAGCTCCCCTGGGAAGCACTCCTCTGTCGACCTTGTCCACTTTGGCCACCTCTTGGCGGAGTACCTCTTGCTGTACCCGGAAGTCGTTCCCTTCCAGCTTCCCTTCCAAATTTGGGATGGGTACTCTTATCCCTTTGACTAGAACTACCTCCCGAGAGCCCACGTTTTCGAACTTGGAAGTTCCTCACTTGGAGCCTTGCATTCTTAGCTCGCAAAGCCTTCTCCACTGTATCACTAAAAGTAGTGATTTGGGCTACAGCCAAGTCCTTTTGGATTTTCACGTTGAGCCCCTGAATGAAACGTCTCACCCTCCTTTGTTCCGTTAGAATAAGTTCAGGAACAAATTTTGACAAGTGGGTAAATTGGCTCTCGTATTCGGCCATTGATTGGGTGCCTTGGCGAAGTCGGATAAACTCGTCTTCCTTCTTTTCCTGGATCAAATGCGGGAAGTACTTGACGTTAAACTCCCTTACGAAGGTCACCCACAGTGTTGGTGTCTACTCTCTCTCCCACTTGGTTCGTATAATATTCCACCAAGAACGGGCGGCCCTTTCTAGTTGAAAGACCACAAAAGTAACTTGCCTCTCTTTTGAGTAGTGTAGGGCAGCAAAAATGTCTATCATCTTCTCCAATCATTGTTCGGCCACGTCTGGATCGGGCCCTCCAAGAAACTTCAGTGGAAAAAATTTTTGAAACCTTTTGAGAGCTCGATCCTCGCTCTCTACATGAATTCCAGGGTTTTCGGGATTCCTAACAGGTGGGTTAGGGTTGTGGTCCTGTTGTTGCACGACATGTGCTAGAAAATCAGTCATCCGCTGGATAGTAGTGGCTACCTGAGCGTTGGGATCAAGTTGGGGTTCAGGGTTTAGTTCGGGCATGGTTTCCCTAGCACCCCCTTCAGTCGTGGGTTGCCTACCACCACGTTCACGGCCTCGACCATTACGAGTGCCCTCCATCGATCTAAGTCAATCTAAGGTCAAAATATAAGTATAACGTTAAATGGCACATAACCCCTTCACTTATAATAAACATAAACAATTAGCCAAAACAAGTACCTCATAAGGCATTTAAACACATAAAACATATACATATAACACATAACAGGATCAAACAGTTACACAGTAGTTCAGTCACATATATACAAGAGGAATCCCATGGAACAAAATTCGATCCGCTTGCATCTTCATGATGCCTCTTAGTTTGAGTATCTCAGTGTGATCTTGGGCGACCACATGATCTATATAAGAGTATCTCTGGCAACGACTACAATGTCGGGTGCGGCTAGCAGTATACCACAGTCGGATCGGACCTCCAGGTCGCTCCTGATAGTCGATGACTCAATATCGCCTTCGCGGTGGCTCACCCCCGCTCCCACTAGCTCCGTCCATAACCTATAAGAGAGCCATCAGTGGTGTCTTAAATGATACAATAGCACTAATTCATATGCGAACACAAATCCCTACGGATCTAAAAATCTAGTCCTAGTTGCCCAGATTATCTCAACCTAGGCTCTGATACCAACTGTGATGACCCCATCTCCCCCTAAGGCAAACTAAAGGGTTCGACGAACCGCCTGCCCAATTCTCGCTAGGACTATGGAGACGAAACGTACAAGACCTATCTAACTTGCAAGAGAAATTCCAATAAAACAAACTATCGAAGCTTATCAAGTCATACACACACAAGATATATGATCCCGAGTGATAATACAGCATTCGAACGCTTAACTGGTCATGCAAAACAAAGAAACGAAAATTTGTCATGGATGAACAGTATCTACCACGTTACAATCCGGTCGGATTCTAGGCCGGATAGAGGGCAGTGGCCAAAACCAAAAGGGATTTCAAACCCCTGCCAATCCGGCCGGAAACTAGCCAGATTGCCCTGGCCGGATTTAGGTCAGAGGCTAAGCCCGAAATGTTTTTCTTCCTCCCCTGCATATCAGGCTAGGTATGCAGCCAAAAGTTGGCCGGATTCTTGGCCGAATTTGATGAACAGTATCCACGTCATGGGTTTCCTATTTTTTGCAAATTCCCTATTTGTTCAAAATTCTGACCAAAACACAAGGAACGTATGATTACCACTATTGAAGGAACATACCATGTAATATATACATTATATAACATAACATAACACCTTCTCAAAGGTATAGAGCTACAAGTACAAATTAAAAGAGAATGTTTGATAGGTTATGTCTAGGGTTTTTCCAAAATCGAGGAGCTATACAAAAGAACAAAATGTCTAACTAGCTCAACTCGTTCTCAATCACGATTCCAAAATGATTCTTGTAAGGAAAACAAAATAATTAGGGTGAGCTTACGCTTGTGAGGTACCAACAAGACCCACAAGTAAACACATATTCTCACATAGTTATCCAAAGCTCATAAGGAAACAAATCAATATAAAAGGATACAATTGACTCTCAAGAGCCCCTTTCCACTTGCCGTACTTGATCTCAGACCCGTTGACACTCCGTCAACCTTAGAAGAGAAGAACAAATCGTAGATTTCCACTTTACTCCATATCCCTTCCATCGGTCACCCCCTTACCGGGCCCGAACACCTCACAGTAACAAAGAGGGTAATATTCGAGTATACCAAAATATTGAGGAGTTAACACTCCACTCGACCAACAGTGAACCCATGGTCCGTTATCGATTCGCCCAATCCCTCGCCGGCTCGAATCGAATAACGACCAAAGGTGTATGAGCTCAAAAATCACAATTAAGTTGTCGGGCATAGCCCAAACAATATCAAAACATACACAGTTACGATTGCACAGTTAAACAGTAACAGTAGTATCGATAAGAAATCGAGAGCGATAAAGTACACTCTCGTCTCATTCAAGCCATTCAAGTTCACGTAGCAAGTATAAACAAACATTTAAGTATTAGACCGTATAATGGTATACTCACCGAAGTAAATAAGTAAATTCACAAGTTCGCTTCAGACGTAGGCCCCAGATCACCGGCATGACCTACAACAAGCAAAAAAAATCACAATTGAGACTCGAACAGCCACTAATATAATATACCAAAAGTGAAATGGGGTGACGATGGTGTGGAGCACGAATGACCCCAAAACCTTCCATTTCAACTCCCCCCCACTCTCAACTCAAGATTACTCAAATTTCTTACCATTTGGGCAGCATTTCCCTTAACATTTCTCATTTCCAACCTATCATTCAACACCCAAACTATCACAAGTGCAAATATAATTTATAGGCTATTCAATCCAACTCCTTAGGGTCACAAAACCCTTAAATCTCAACTAGTTACAAGCTCTTGAACCAACCTTAGAAAAGCCCCAAATATATAAACTCAAAAACCGAAATTTCCCTTAAAAGCTGGAATTTTCCACTATAACCCACATTTGACATATAGAGGCTCCAAATTACTCAATATAAGGCTATCATTCCATAGCCAACCATAATATATCATATAAAACAGAAAATTCACCAATAAATATGAAAATTAGACAAACTCAATCATAACCCATGAAATATTCCATAAAATAGCATCTTCAACTACTAACACCTACTAATTTAACATTACAACCCACAAAGAGAAAATTCTTGACCACTCACCTTCTCAACTACAAGAAGCAAGGTAGCTAGGGCTTGTTCTTCACAAATGGCTCCACCAATCACCTTAGCCTCACTTAACAACTCACTTGTGTGGAGAAATTAGGAATTTTAATGGTTGGTTTACAAGATTAAGCAAGAAAGGAAGGAAAATTGAAGAAACTTTTCTCTCTTCTTTGTCTCCAAGATGCACGGCCAAAAGGAAGGAAATGGAGATGATTTTGGGTCAAAAATTGATTTAGTAAAGGTGAGGAAAGACTAGTCAAAAGTCCAATCTCCAATAGGAATGCAACATGTGGCTTTCTCAAGTTTATCTCATTCCTTTGTCTTCCAACACTTAATTAAACTAGATAACCTCTAATTAGCTCATAATATCATGTAATATAATCTCCGTACATAAAACTTTTCCACATTCCTCACATTTGCCACACTTAACGCACTAGTGGGTCCCACATCAACGGCACACCACCATTACCTATTTCAAAAAAAAAAAGACTAAAAATCAAATTTTCTCATGAAAATCCCCAAAAAATTCATATAATAAAGAAAACATGAAAATGGTGAACAAAAGTCTAAAATAAATGCCTAGAAAATAAGAAAATTTCGGGATCTCACACAACAAGAAGAAGAAAATCCAAGAGAAGAAAATCCAACAAAAGCCAATCCTTGAACCCTGTAAGTCTTACCACTATCACGTTATGGACAAAATTGCCCCAGACATTGCCACGTGTAATTCTAATTTGAGAATTTAAGAATAATTAATGACAAAATGGTCACGAGTTAATAGATTAAATTGTTTAGTGGCCAATTATTGACAAAAATAGTTAGATGACCAAAACATGATCCCGTCAATAGTTTAATGGTCGCTGAGATATTTTGCCCTAAAAAGGTCAGTGGGATAAAAGTCTATCATGTCATAATCTCGGTCAATGGGATAAAACCCGATCCTGCAGTAAATTGATCAGTGGGATAAAACCGATCCTGCCATTCAACGGTCAGTGGGATAATACCTGATCCTGCCATTCAATTGGTCAGTGAGATGATACCTGATCCTGCTATCTGCCATTCCATTGGTCAGTGGGATGATACCCGATCCTTCCATTCGTCGGTCAGTGGGATAATACCCGATCTTGTCATTCAATTGGTCAGTGAGATGATACCCGATCCTGCCATTCATTGGTCAGTGGGATAATATCTGATCCTGACATTCAATTGGTCAGTGGGATAATACCCGATTCTACCATACTATTGGTCAGTGGGATAAAACCCAATCCTACCATTCAATTGGTCAGTGGGATAATACCCGATCCTGCCATAACATTGGTCAGTGAGATAAGACCCGAGCCTGCCATAACATCTGTCAAAAAGGGAGGTAGAACGGTGCGCAGCGGGCGCTGAAACTTTACCAACAAGAAATTAAATTTGATTTTTTGATCGGGAGAATATTTTAAAAAAAAATTTTGCCGAGTTTCAACCAATTATTGTGCAATCGATCATTCGCTTTGCATATGGCATTGTTGCACCTTCTTAAGACTTTGATTCACATCTCTTCCTTGGTTTGAACCATGAATATTCCATTCTTGGGCGATATTCCACAATTATATAAAAAATTTGCCCCAATTTTATTATTTGAAACACGTACGGACCTGCAAGAGAAAGAACAAATAATGCCACCACCATTCGACCCGTCTAACTTTCAAGAAACGTGTAAACATGAGTATTATGATGTTCTCCTCTCGATGCTGCAAAAACTCAACTTTGCTTCATAAACTGTATCAAGTTTTGTTGACTTCCAATGCTAATGAAATATGACATTTGATATCCATGGACTTTCCATAAATCAGATGGATTGCAATTTGATAAACCCAAAGGGATAAATGAAACCATGAAACATAAGAAAAATATTTTATTTACACAAAAATGATGAAAATCCAAGTAAAATGAAAGCAACAATTTACCTTTATTGATTTTAAAGAAATGAACCTGTACACTCAAAAGTTTATATTTGATGAACTAAAGCACTTTGATTCTCAAACAAAATGCCACATTTGATCCTTTGGATATCATTCCTCCGGAATTCAATGCCGGTAGAAAAATCACAATGTGAGGAGGAATCCAACCGAACTGAATCACTAGTCTTTCAAATCCAATCTCACTTTTCTCATAAAACTCTACCTTAGCGCCCTTTCGAGTTTTCGGTAGAACTATTCCCACCTTTTTATTTCCCTTTTTCTTTTATTTTCACTTTCTTTTTTCTTTTTTCTTTTCTTTTCTTCTTTTTTTCTTTTCAAATGTACCTTTTCGGGTTTTCACTTAATGAACCAATCTTGTCGGTAGCCTTTATCAACTCAGAAATGTGTTGTAAGAAATGATG